ATATGGGTGAAATGTATGTGCAAGAAAAGTTTCTAGGTGAAGAGTCTCTGGGTGAAAAGTATATTGGTGAAAAGTATGTGCAAGAAGATTTTCTGGGTGAAGAGTCTCTGGGTGAAAAGTATATGGGTGAAAAGTATGTGCAAGAAGAGTTTCTGGGTGAAAAGTCTGTGCAAGAAGAGTTTCTGGGTTAAAAGTATATGGGTGAAAAGTATGTGCAAGAAGAGTTTCTGGGTGAAGAGTCTCTGGGTGAAAAGTATATGGGTGAAAAGTATGTGCAAGAAGAGTTTCCGGGTGAAGAGTCTCTGGGTGAAAAGTATATGGGTGAAAAGTATGTGCAAGAAGAGTTTCTGGGTGAAGAGTCTCTGGGTGAAAAGTATATGTGTGAAAAGTATGTGCAAGAAGAGTTTCTGGGTGAAGAGTCTCTGGGTGAAAAGTATATGGGTGAAAAGTATGTGCAAGAAGAGTTTCTGGGTGAAAAGTATGTGCAAGAAGAGTGTCTGGTGAAGTCTCTGGGTGAAAGTTGTACAAGAGATTCTGGATGAAGATCCTCTGGTGAAAAGTATCCTGGTGAAGAGGTCTCTGGGTGAAAAGTCTATGCAAGAAGAGTTTCTGGGTGAAGAGTCTCTGGGTGAAAGTATGTGCAAGAAAGTTTCTGGGTGAAGAGTCTCTGGGTTAAAAGTATATGGGTGAAAAGTATGTGCAAGAAGAGTTTCTGGGTGAAGAGTCTCTCGATGAAAAGTATATGGGTGAAAAGTATGTGCAAGAAGAGTTTCTGGGTGAAGAGTCTCTGGATGAAAAGTATCTGGGTGAAGAGTCTCTGGGTGAAAAGTATGCGCAAGAAGAGTTTCTGGGTGAAGAGTCTCTGGGTGAAAAGTATATGGAAGAAAAAATGCAAGAAGAGTTTCTGGGTGAAAAGTATGTGCAAGAAGAGTTTCTGGGTGAAGAGTCCCTGGGTGAAACGTATATTGGTGAAAAGTATGTGCAGGAAGAGTTTCTGGGTGAAGAGCCTCTGGGTGAAAAGTATATGGGTGAAAAGTATGTGCAAGAAGAGTTTCTGGGTGAAGAGTCTCTGGGTGAAAAGTATGTGCAAGAAAGTTTCTGGGTGAAGAGTCTCTCGATGAAAAGTATATGGGTGAAAAGTATGTGCAAGAAGAGTTTCTGGGTGAAGAGTCTCTGGGTGAAAAGTGTATTGGCGAAAAGTACGTGCAAGAAGAGTTTCTGGGTGAAGAGTCTCTGGGTTAAAAGTTTATGGGTGAAAAGCATGTGCAAGAAGAGTTTCTGGGTGAAAAGTATGTGCAAGAAGAGTTTCTGGGTGAAGAGTCTCTGGGTGAAAAGTATGTACAAGAAGAGCTTCTGGATGAATAGTCTCTGGATGAAAAGTATCTGGGAAGAGTCTCTGGGTGAAAAGTATGTGCAAGAAGAGTTTCTGGGTGAAGAGTCTCTGGGTGAAAAGTATATGGGTGAAAAGTATGTGCAAGAAGAGTTTCTGGGCGAAGAGTCTCTGGATGAAAAGTATATGGGTGAAAAGTATGTGCAAGAAGAGTTTCTGGGTGAAGAGTCTGTGGGTGAAAAGTTTATGGGTGAAAAGCATGTGCAAGAAGAGTTTCTGGGTGAAAAGTATGTGCAAGAAGAGTTTCTGGGTGAAGAGTCTCTGGGTGAAAACTATGTACAAGAAGAGTTTCTGCATGAAGAGTCTCTGGATGAAAAGTATCTGGGTGAAGAGTCTCTGGGTGAAAAGTATGTGCAAGAAATTGCAAGAAGAGTTTCTGGGTGAAGAGTCTCTGGGTGAAAAGTATATGGGTGAAAAGTATGTGCAAGAAGAGTTTCTGGGTGAAGAGTCTCTGGGTGAAAAGTATGTGCAAGAAAGTTTCTGGGTGAAGAGTCTCTGGGTTAAAAGTATATGGGTGAAAAGTATGTGCAAGAAGAGTTTCTGGGTGAAGAGTCTCTCGATGAAAAGTATATGGGTGAAAAGTATGTGCAAGAAGAGTTTCTGGGTGAAGAGTCTCTGGGTGAAAAGTGTATTGGCGAAAAGTACGTGCAAGAAGAGTTTCTGGGTGAAGAGTCTCTGGGTTAAAAGTATATGGGTGAAAAGTATGTGCAAGAAGAGTTTCTGGGTGAAGAGTTTCTGGGTGAAAAGTATATGGGTGAAAAGTATGTGCAAGAAGAGTTTCTGGATGAAGAATCTCTGGGTGAAAAGTATATGGGTGAAAAGTATGTGCAAGAAGAGTTTCTGGGTAAAGAGTCTCTGGGTGAAAAGTATGTGCAAGAATGGTTTCTGGGTGAAGAGTCTCTGGGTGAAAAGTATCTGGGTGAAAAGTATGTGCAAGAAGAGTTTCTGGGTGAAGAGTCTCTGGGTGAAAAGTATTTGGGTGAAAAGTATGTGCAAGAAGAGTTTCTGGGTGAAGAGTCCCTGGGTGAAAAGTATATGGGTGAAAGATATTTGCAAGAGGAGTTTCTGGGTGAAGAGTCTCTGGGTGAAAGGTATATGGGTAAAAAGTATGTGCAAGAAGAGTTTCTGGGTGAAGAGTCTCTGGGTGAAAAGTATGTGCAAGAAAGTTTCTGGGTGAAAAGTATGTGCAAGAAGAGTTTCTGGGTGAAGAGTCTCTGGGTGAAATGTATATGGGTGAAAAGCATGTGCAAGAAGGGTTTCTGGGTGAAGAGTCTCTGGGTGAAAAATATTGGGGAACATAGGGATAGATGGGATGCGGGCTTTCGTTCCCCCCTTCTCAGGTTTTCTCCCAGAAACTTGTGCGATCGATCATGGGGTAGCTGACTTTCATCAGGGACATCATTTGGCGATTTAATAAAAACATGACGGGGTGAAAGGAAATTACATATTGAACCAAACTTGGATGACCCATGATCTTGAACTTGCTACTGCTAGCTGAAGTCCCTCTTGCGTTAGCAAGGTATTGGGGGGGTTCGAATCTCCAATCGCATGAAACTTCATACGTAACTACCGGCAGCAAATTCGGCAGCACCTGCATCCTCAGCATCCTTGTGTTTTCATGCCAAGCTCCCTGCCAAGCTCGCTTTCGTCCCTTACCTCTGGGCCTCAAGTCTAGATCCCGAGACCCAGATTTGATTGCAAAAGTGCAGGTTAGCAGCACCAGGGAGATTGCGATTCCTGCAGAGGCACCTGGCGAGGCACGCAGGAACTTGTGCAATCGATCATGGGGTAGCTGACTTTCATTTGGGGACATCACTGTTCAGTCTAAATTGAAACATTTTTTTCTTCATCCTAGTGCCCAACCAAATCCACCCCATAGTGTAAACTCATGTAAACTCCCCGGCGAGTGACATTGTATTTAGCACAATTATGTACAATTGGGACGTATGTTTGCGGGAGTTGTCTGCCATACCTCGGGCCATGGAATCTGAAAGCAGCAATTGGCCCAAAAAAGCGTGCAACATCTTTCATCATCTGGGGTAAAAATCAATCAACATGTGCTCGCCAAAGAGGTTCCTGATAAGAAGCACATTTCAGCATTAAAAAACAACTATCTAACCTCTAGCGTCACTGATACAAAAGTCAACTAAGAGATGCGCTCGGCGAAGAAGTTCCCTGATCAGAGCCAGGTTTCTTTATTTGTGGAACTAGATCCGACATGATCCGACCATAAAGGTCAAGCAGAATTTGCTGGGCGAAGAGACTCCTCCCTAATAAGGATCAAATTACCTGCTAAAAACAAATTCTACATGTAAAGTTTCACATTCATTTTGCGGCGACCTAATCTAAAACCTGAAAATGCATGACCGCTCCAATTATTGGGGTCCAAAACCACCGTTTCAATCCGTTTCACCGTTTCACCATTTAGGGTCAATAATAGATTTAGTAAGTACTATGTTTGAAGTCTTGAGGTGGAGACCCAGAAAATTGCGAAAACAACTGCTGGAACACAGTTTATTCAATCTTAATTACAGGCGACTTAAAATAAAACATGAAGGGGTGAAAGGAAATGACACATGGAACCAAATTTGGATGACCCATGATCACGAAAGTTAGCTACTGCTAGCTGAAGTCCCTCTTGCGTTAGCAAGGTATTGGGGGGGCTCGAATCTCCAATCGCATGAAACTTCATACGTAACTACCGGCAGCAAATTCGGCAGCACCTGCATCCTCAGCATCCTTGTGTTTTCATGCCAAGCTCCCTGCCAAGCTCCCTGCCAAGCTCGCTTTCGTCCCTTACCTCTGGGCCTCAAGTCGATCCTAAGACCAAGATTTGATTGCAAAAGTGCAGGTTAGCAGCACCAGGGAGATTGCGATTCCTGCAGAGGCACCTGGCGAGGCACGCAGGAACTTGTGCAATCGATCATGGGGTAGCTGACTTTCATTTGGGGACATCACTGTTCAGTCTAAATTGACACATTTATTTCTTCATCCTAGTGCCCAACCAAATCCACCCCATAGTGTAAACTCATGTAAACTCCCTGGCGAGTGACATTGTATTTAGCACAATTATGTACAATTGGGACGTATGTTTGTGGGAGTTGTCTGCCGTACCTCGGGCCATGGAATCTGAAAGCAGCAATTGGCCCAAAAAAGCGTGCAACATCTTTCATCATCTGGGGGTAAAAATCAATCAACATGTGCTCGCCAAAGAGGTTCCTGATAAGAAGCACATTTCAGCATTAAAAAACAACTATCTAACCTCTAGCGTCACTGATACAAAAGTCAACTAAGAGATGCGCTCGGCGAAGAAGTTCCCTGATCAGAGCCAGGTTTCTTTATTTGTGGAACTAGATCCGACATGATCCGACCATAAAGGTCAAGCAGAATTTGCTGGGCGAAGAGGCTCCTCCCTAATAAGGATCAAATTACCTGCTAAAAACAAATTCTACATGTAAAATTTCACATTCATTTTGCGGCGACCTAATCTAAAACCTGAAAATGCATGACCGCTCCAATTATTGGGGTCCAAAACCGCCGTTTCAATCCGTTTCACCATTTAGGGTCAATAATAGATTTAGTAAGTACTATGTTTGAAGTCTTGAGGCGGAAACCCAGAAAATTGCGAAAACAACTGCTGGAACATAATTTATTCAATCTTAATTGCAGGCGACTTAACAAAAACATGAAGGGGTGAAAGGAAATGACACATGGAACCAAATTTGGATGACCCATGATCATGAAAGCTAGCTACTGCTAGCTGAAGTCCCTCTTGGTTAGCAAGGTATTGGGGGGGCTCGAATCTCCAATCGCATGAAACTTCATACGTAACTACCGGCAGCAAAATTCGGCAGCACCTGCATCCTCAGCATCCTTGTGTTTTCATGCCAAGCTCCCTGCCAAGCTCGCTTTCGTCCCTTACCTCTGGGCCTCAAGTCTAGATCCCGAGACCCAGATTTGATTGCAAAAGTGCAGGTTAGCAGCACCAGGGAGATTGCGATTCCTGCAGAGGCACCTGGCGAGGCACGCAGGAACTTGTGCAATCGATCATGGGGTAGCTGACTTTCATTTGGGGACATCACTGTTCAGTCTAAATTGACACATTTATTTCTTCATCCTAGTGCCCAACCAAATCCACCCCATAGTGTAAACTCATGTAAACTCCCTGGCGGGTGACATTGTATTTAGCACAATTATGTACAATTGTGACGTATGTTTGTGGGAGTTGTCTGCCGTACCTCGGGCCATGGAATCTGAAAGCAGCAATTGGCCCAAAAAAGCGTGCAACATCTTTCATCATCTGGGGTAAAAATCAATCAACATGTGCTCGCCAAAGACGTTCCTGATAAGAAGCACATTTCAGCATTAAAAAACAACTATCTAACCTCTAGCGTCACTGATACAAAAGTCAACTAAGAGATGCGCTCGGCGAAGAAGTTCCCTGATCAGAGCCAGGTTTCTTTATTTGTGGAACTAGATCCGACATGATCCGACCATAAAGGTCAAGCAGAATTTGCTGGGCGAAGAGACTCCTCCCTAATAAGGATCAAATTACCTGCTAAAAACAAATTCTACATGTAAAGTTTCACATTCATTTTGCGGCGACCTAATCTAAAACCTGAAAATGCATGACCGCTCCAATTATTGGGGTCCAAAACCACCGTTTCAATCCGTTTCACCATTTAGGGTCAATCATAGATTTAGTAAGTACTATGTTTGAAGTCTTGAGGCGGAAACCCAGAAAATTGCGAAAACAACTGCTGGAACATAATTTATTCAATCTTAATTGCAGGCGACTTAACAAAAACATGAAGGGGTGAAAGGAAATGACACATGGAACCAAATTTGGATGACCCATGATCATGAAAGCTAGCTACTGCTAGCTGAAGTCCCTCTTGGTTAGCAAGGTATTGGGGGGGCTCGAATCTCCAATCGCATGAAACTTCATACGTAACTACCGGCAGCAAAATTCGGCAGCACCTGCATCCTCAGCATCCTTGTGTTTTCATGCCAAGCTCCCTGCCAAGCTCGCTTTCGTCCCTCTGGGCCTCAAGTCTAGATCCCGAGACCCAGATTTGATTGCAAAAGTGCAGGTTAGCAGCACCAGGGAGATTGCGATTCCTGCAGAGGCACCTGGCGAGGCACGCAGGAACTTGTGCAATCGATCATGGGGTAGCTGACTTTCATTTGGGGACATCACTGTTCAGTCTAAATTGGCACATTTATTTCTTCATCCTAGTGCCCAACCAAATCCACCCCATAGTGTAAACTCATGTAAACTCCCTGGCGAGTGACATTGTATTTAGCACAATTATGTACAATTGGGACGTATGTTTGCGGGAGTTGTCTGCCGTACCTCGGGCCATGGAATCTGAAAGCAGAAATTGGCCCAAAAAAGCGTGCAACATCTTTCATCATCTGGGGGTAAAAATCAATCAACATGTGCTCGCCAAAGACGTTCCTGATAAGAAGCACATTTCAGCATTAAAAAACACATTGCGCCCGCTGTGCGGGTAAGACATTTCCACCCGCAGACGACGAATTCCGAAGACGAATTACGAAGACGAATTCCCCGAAGACGAATTGCCCCCCGAAGACGAATTCCCACCCGAAGACGAATTCCGAAGACGAATTCCCCGAAGACGAATTGCGCCCCGAAGACGAATTCCCCCCCGAAGACGAATTGCGAAGACGAATTCCACGAAGACGAATTGCCCCCCGAAGACGAATTCCCCCTGAGACGAATTGCGAAGACGAATTCCCCCGCGAAGACGAATTGCAAGACGATTCCCCGAGACGAATTCCCCCCGAAGACTAATTCCCCCCCGCAGACGAATTCCCGAAGACGAATTGCGCCCCGAAGACGAATTCCCCCCCCAGAAGACATTCCCGAAGACAATTCCCCGAAACGATTGCCCCCCCCCCCCCCCGGGGGGGGGAAAGACGATTGCCGAAGACGAATTCCCGAAGACGAATTGCCCCCCGAAGACGAATTCCCCCCCGAAGACGAATTGCGAAGACGAATTCCCCGAAGACGAATTGCCCCCCGAAGACGAATTCCCCCCCGAAGACGAATTGCGAAGACGAATTCCCCGAAGACGAATTCGAAGACGAATTCCCCCCCGAAGACGAATTCCCCGAAGACGAATTGCCCCCCGAAGACGACTTTTTCACCAACGACTTGGGAGAGAAAAGCATGCATACACTCAAAGCCTACATGCATGTCATATATGCATCTAGTTTTTATTTTGGCAAACCGTAGGGACATTTTTTTTGTCCATGGTGGGTTTTCACCGTATAACGGACGTCTTTGTTTGGTTCACTTGCATATTTTCCCTACAAGGGCCTGTCATGTTAGGAACTGGGCCCCCAGTTCCAGGAACTGGCGGAACCATGGTCACGGTTTGAAGGGTTGGTTTATGGACCCCAACACCGATCATGATGACTATAACGAAGGAGGTAACGAAATGAACGACATGGAAAAAAGGAAGAGATAAACAAACCGCATGTAAGACTTGAAAAAAGGAAGGAAATAGCGACATGAACGCATTGACATGAAAGGAAGAGGTAAATGAACTGGATGGAAGCGTTGAAACGAGGGGGAGGAAGTAGCGAATGGAAGGGAAGAGTTAAACCGATTTAAAGCGGAAGGAACGACGTATAGGGAACAGAAGGGAAGAGTTGAAACGAAAGAAGCAGCGAACGGGATTACAAAGAGTTGAAACGAAAGGAAGGAAGCAACGAATGGAAGGGAAGAGTTGCAACAAAAAGACGGACACAATGAAAAGGACGAGTTGACAGGAAAGGAAGAGCAGGAAGAACAGGACAGAAGATTTGAGCGAAACGACGGACTTCGCGAAATGAACGCCTTTAAATGAGAGAAAGAGGTGAACGAATAAGATGAAACAATGGGGAGGAAGTAACGAACGGAGCAGAAGTTAAAACGAAAGGAGCGACGTAGGGAACAGAAGGGAAGACAAAACGAAAGGGAAGAGTAACAAACGAAATGCTCTGGATGCTATAGCCTCTGGGCTTGCTCTTTGAGATTTTGAAAATTCTTTTGATGCTACGCTCTTGGCCTTCACCTGAGGCGTTTCAGCACGCCCTTGACGCTACGCTCTGGAGACGGTCGCCTCTTGAATGCTATGCTAATTTTCTCTTGGAAGTTCGAACAAGCCCTTGGTGCTACGCTCTTGGCTTAATCTTGGGTTTTCCGACACGCTTTTGCTGCTACGCTCTGAGCATCTCTTAGCTTTCTCCTGGGCCAGTCCGGCAAGCTCTTGATGCTACGCTCTTAGCTGTCTATTGGAACTTCCAACACGCTCTTGGTGTGTTTTATCTTCCAACACTTTCTCTTTGCCTTGTCCTGGGACGTGCCAGCACGCTCTTGACGCTACGCCCTTGGCTTCTCTTGAAGCATGGCGCGCTATTTTTGCTTTTTTTTTGTGACGCATTGAATTAAAACACGCTCTTGATGCTACGTTCTCGGCTCCGGCTCTGACACTCTCTTGATGCTACGCGCTGAACCTCGTCTTGGAACAGTCCAAGATGCTGTTGACGCTACGGTCCACCACAATCGTGATGATACGCTCTTATAATTTTTCTTGGAACTTCCAACGCGCTCTTGTTGGTGCTACGCTCCGCCTCTTGACGCTGCGGTCTGGAGAAAGTCACGCTCTTCCTGCTACGCTCTTAGCTTTGTTCTGGAACACGCCAGGACGCTCTAGTTGCTACGCTCTTTTGTTCTTCGCTTGGTGCTACGCTCTGACCTCCAACACGTTCTGGATGCTAGACTCTTAGGTTTTTCTTGGTCCTTCAACACGCTCTCCTGGTATTGCTCGCTTAGGTTTCTCTTGGAACTTCCAACACGCTCTTGGTGCTACGCTCTTGACTTCCTCTTGGAACTGCCAGCGTTCTCTTGATGCTAGCCTCCTGTGCTATGCTTTTAGCCTTGGAACTTCCAGCAGGCTCTTGATGTTACGCGCTCAACTCCCGCATGTTCTCAATGCTACACGCTCAATACTTTTTCAATGAACTTCCTGAGCTTTCTCCTGGAACACTCCGGCGCTCTCTTCGTTTGGTTTTGGTAAGAAGATAAGAAGGTTCTACTACTTCAACTTAATGATTGATCCTTGCCTCAAGGATCTTCAACTAAGGTTGCAAAAGCACGCCACACGATCTTGATAATTACCTCTACGCTTTATATTTCGACATAACCTAGCCTTGGTGGTCAGGCCAAATCCCTATCTGCCCTCCGGCTCCTCTTCCTCTCTACATTCCTCTATTTCTCTTCCCACATACAAAGAATACAGTACGCCTGCGCCCTTGCTCGTCATGCCTAACCTGTCAACAGGCAATGTGTCGTCAGGCAATAATATACACACAATGCGTCATCAGGGGGATAATGCGTTGTCAGGGGGCAATGCGTCGTCAGGGAATGTGTCGTCACAATGCGTCGTCAGGGGGCAATGCGTCGTCAGGGAATGTGTCGTCACAATGCGTCGTCAGGGGGTAATGCGTCGTCAGGGGGCAATGCGTCGTCAGGGAATGTGTCGTCACAATGCGTCGTCAGGGGGTAATGCGTCGTCAGGGGGCAATGCGTCGTCAGGGAATGCGTCGTCACAATGCGTCGTCAGGGGGTAATGCGTCGTCAGGGTCAGGCAATGCGTCGTCAGGGAATGTGTCGTCACAATGCGTCGTCAGGGGGCAATGCGTCGTCAGGGAATGTGTCGTCACAATGGTCGTCAGGGGGTAATGCGTCGTCAGGGAATGCGTCGTCAGTCGTCAGAAATGCGTCGTCAGCGGGTAATGCGTCGTCAGGGGGCAATGCGTCGTCAGGGAATGCGTCGTCACAATGCGTCGTCAGGGGGTAATGCGTCGTCAGGGAGTAATGCGTCGTCAGGGAATGTGTCGTCACAACGCGTCGTCAGGGGGCAATGCATCGTCACAATGTGTCGTCAGAATGCGTCGTCAGGGGGTAATTGCGTCGTCAGGGGGCAATGCGTCGTCAGGGAATGTGTCGTCACAATGCGTCGTCAGGGGGTAATGTGTCGTCAGGGGGCAATGTGTCGTCAGGGAATGCGTCGTCACAATGCGTCGTCAGGGGGTAATGCGTCGTCAGGGGGCAATGCGTCGTCAGGGAATGTGTCGTATTGTGTCGTCACAATGCGTCGTCAGGGGGGCCGGGGGCATCGCCAATGTGTCGTCACAATGCGCCGTCAGCGTCAGCGCGAAATGTCTTACCCAAGCTGCGGGTGCCCTGAAAAAACAACTATCTAACCTCTAGCGTCACTGATACAAAAGTCAACTAAGAGATGCGCTCGGCGAAGAAGTTCCCTGATCAGAGCCAGGTTTCTTTATTTGTGGAACTAGATCCGACATGATCCGACCATAAAGGTCAAGCAGAATTTTCTGGGCGAAGAGACTCCTCCCTAATAAGGATCAAATTACCTGCTAAAAACAAATTCTACATGTAAAGTTTCACATTCATTTTGCGGCGACCTAATCTAAAACCTGAAAATGCATGACCGCTCCAATTATTGGGGTCCAAAACCACCGTTTCAATCCGTTTCACCATTTAGGGTCAATAATAGATTTAGTAAGTACTATGTTTGAAGTCTTGAGGCGGAAACCCAGAAAATTGCGAAAACAACTGGGAGGGCTAATTATTTTAGGATTTTTTTTTTGGGATCAGGTTTAGGAATTATTTTTGGATTCCTGCTTCTCTGCTTTTCCTGCTTTTCCTGCTTCCCTGCTTTTCCTGCTTTTCCTGCTTTTCCTGCTTTTCCTGCTTCTCTGCTTTTCTGCTTTTTTGCTTTTCTGCTTCTCCTGCTTCTCGCCTTTTCTGCTTTTTTGCTTTTCTGCTTCTCCTGCTTCTCTGCTTCTCTGCTTTTCTGCTTTTTTGCTTTTCTGTTTTTCCTGTTTCTTTGCTTCTCTGCTTTTCCTGCTTTTCCTGCTGCTTTTCTGCTTTTCCTGCTTCTTTGCCTTTCTGCTGTTTTGCTTTTGTGCGTTTCCTGTTTCTTTGCTTCTCTGCTTTTTTGCTTCTCTGTTTTTTTTTGCTTTGCCTGCTTTAAATACTTGATTTTCATGTAAGATGCATTTTGCACAGTATTTACATCCCTGAGTATCACATGACCAACCTTCTCTTGAAAACTAGCAACGTAACATGTGAGAAGAGGTGCTTGCATTCTGCTTTGGGGGGAGGCGCTGCGCCCTCCCCCCAATCCCCCCCTCCCGCTTTTTTTTTAATTTAAACTTAAACCCAAGTTACATTAGTTGGTTTTTGCGAACTAACCTTCTCTGGAAAGCTGACAGGATTACATGTGATAGATAGATAGATAGATAGATAGATAGATAGACAGATAGATAGATAGTAGATAGATAGCTGATAGATAGCTTGGTAGATAGATAGCTAGATAGATAGATAGCCAGCTAGATAGATAGATAGCTAGAGAGATAGATAGCTAGATACCTCGATAGATAGATGGCTAGATAGATAGCTAGATAGATAGATAGGCTAGATAGATAGCTAGCTAGATAGATAAAGAGGTAGCTAGATAGATAGCTAGATAGATAGATAGATAGCTAAATAGATAGGTAGATAGTTAGCTAGATAGATAGATAGCTAGATAGATAGCTCGATAGCTAGATAGCTGGATAGACAGCTGGATGGCTAGATAGCTAGATAGCTAGATAGATAGTTAGCTAGATAGCTAGATAGGTAGATAGATAGTTAGCTAGATAGCTAGATAGCTAGATAGATAGACAGCTGGATGGCTAGATAGATAGATAGCTAGCTAGATAGAAAGCTAGATAGCTAGATAGCTAGATAGTTAGCTAGATAGCTAGATAGGTAGATAGATAGCTAGCAAGATAGCTAGCTAGATAGGTAGATAGATAGCTAGATAGATAGATAGCTTGCTAGATAGGTAGCTAGCTTGCTAGATAGATAGCTAGCTAGATAGCTAGATAGCTAGCTAGCTGGATAAATAGCTAGCGCCCTCCCTCAATCCCCCCCACCCGCTTTTTATCTAATCCCAAGCTTCCGCATCTGTACAGATTTGGGTGAACATGCTCACATGTAGAACATCCCATGCAAAATGGAAGGTGAACATGCCAAAATGTGGCAAATACCATACAAAATCGAAGGTGAACATGCCCACATGTAGGAAATCCCATGCAAAATGGAAGGTGAACATGCCAAAATGTGGCAAATACCATACAAAATGGAAGGTGAACAATGTGAACATGCCCACATGTGGTAAATCCCATGCAAAATGGAAGGTGAACATGCCCAAATGTGGCAAATACCATGCAAAATGACAAATTCAAGTTCCAAACCGTTGCAAACACTAGGCAAATGGTACCAGGCAAGAAATCCAAAAAAAATTCCCAAACCTGCTCAAAAAATAATTCCTAAAACTATTTCACACCCTTACAACTGCTGGAACATAGTTTATTCAATCTTAATTGCAGGCGACTTAAAATAAAACATGAAGGGGTGAAAGGAAATGATTTATGGAGCCCACTTTGGATGACCCATGATCACGAAAGTTAGCTACTGCTAGCTGAAGTCCCTCTTGCGTTAGCAAGGTATTGGGGGGGCTCGAATCTCCAATCGCATGAAACTTCATACTTAACTACCGGCAGCAAATTCAGCAGCATCTGCATCCTCAGCATCCTTGTGTTTTCATGCCAAGCTCCCTGCCAAGCTCGCTTTCATCCCTTACCTCTGGGATCCTCTGGGCCTCAAGTCTAGATCCCGAGACCCAGATTTGATTGCAAAAGTGCAGGTTAGCAGCACCAGGGAGATTGCGATTCCTGCAGAGGCACCTGGCGAGGCACGCCAGTTGAGAACCTGCTTGTTTTTTTCTCCCAGAAACTTGTGCAATCGATCATGGGGTAGCTGACTTTCATTTGGGGACATCATTTGGCGATTTAATAAAAACATGACGGGGTGAAAGGAAATGACAGGAAATGACAGGAAATTACATATTAAGCCAAGCTTGGATGACGCATGATCTAGATCCTGAGACGCAAACGGGCCGGTTGGCAGCACCAGGGGTATTAAGATTCCTGCAGGGGCACCTGGTGCTGTATGTTTTTTCCCCCATATTCGATTGATGAATTGCAGATTCGTGGTGAACAAGAGCTTGAGGACTTGCTTTTTGCGCGTGGGGGGTCATCGACATGCAGGTCGCAGCAGAATCACATGAGTCTGCGCCGAAAGAGGCAGAGAAACAACTGGAGGCAAGGCACTTGACCGTGATTCCGACAAAGGGTGTCATTGATATAGCAATCACGCATTGAACCTATCTGAACCTACTATCCTCTTCAGACTTGCTTTGCAATGCAGGTCGGCAATGCAAGACAGGCCTCAGAGACAAGCCTTGAGGCACTGCAGATACAAATGGCATTAGGTAAGAGCCATCAGAGTTACGCGGCCATTGGTTGGGGAGCTACCGCATTCGTGACATGATCGGGAAGGTTTCTAAGGTGGCAGAATCTTCATACTTTATAGACTTGATAGACTGATAGACAATGATTTGCTTCCAGACGGAGAGGTGGTACCTTACCATGAACACCAAGATGAAGTGCCCGAACCCGTCACCATTGAGGACACTGCCTTGTTTGTGCCTTTGTGATCCTTTGTGTGTGAAGGTTCTTGACTGCTCAAGTGTTTCCCAATGAAGGATCTCATGGCATCCATGCAGATTGACTCTGCGACCGGCCCGCCAATTGAGCCACAAGTCTCACAGGACCCTGGAAGATCTCTCGCAAGTTCGGCCAAGCATCAAGCCTGCTGAAGACATTTGTTCCACCAATGTTGCAGCTTTCAGTGATATGAAGAGTGGTTTTACCATGGTTTGTTTGTCGACCAAGAGTCGTTTTGAAACCTTTTGAGGGTTCCAACTGGGATCAACTGGGCGAGTGCAAGAGATTGTGCATGCTTTTAAAAGGAGGCTTTGGCCTGGCAGCAATGGCAACAATGGGAACAATGGCAACAAGCTCAAGCTCAGTTTGCTCGAGAGGTTTGGACCTCAGTCCCTGTTGTTTTGGTTTCTGATGTTTCTGTCAGCCGCATCCTTGACATTTGCATTCCTTTCCAAGAGGCAGATGCTAAGCTTTTGCTGCCAGAGCATTTGCGACCCAAGCCCGTCCTTGTACGTCGTAGCCTTACTGGGTCGCATCAAGGCTCTCAGATCATCACCAAACCGGCCTGTTAAATAGGGATCGATGATCGATGTAGAAAGGAAATGAAGAAATGAATTTAACGACTCATATGCATCCCACAAGTCCTAAATGAGGAAGCAAGGAAGGAAGGGAGTGCAGGGTGAGCGATGGAATCGAGAGAAAAGTGGTTCTGTCCTCCTTATACAATCTATTTGCCGCCTCCCGCGCCCAAACCTGGGTATTTCAGCTGCAAGGTGCCCCCATTGGCCATGAGTTTCGTTTTAGTTCTAGAACGCTGCACTAAGAAAAAAAGAAATTGGGCATGTTTTCTCCGAACAGTATTTTGAATATTTTTGAAGCGCAAAGATATCCAGAACTGATGCTCAGTCTTTTGTGATCTGGAATGGATTTGTTTGATTATTGATTCCTGGTGAAAGATGTGTGATCCACACATCCAGTGCCAAGGAAAGCCACACTACGATACGGTCAGTTGGGAGGTGGGAGTTGGTAACCTGGTTTCTTAACGCATCCTTCAGCTTAGAGTCTTAGAGGACAAACGGTGCACACGAACAAAGCGATGTGTCACACTGATGGGCATGAGTAGCATGAGTAGATCTTCAGCATTTTTCAGCACCACTTTGGCCCAATCTCTCGGAATTTGATCCGGCGGATGTCTTGTGGAAACCTGTGGCAGTTTCCGCGGCCAGGTCCGAGAAGATCACAGCCAGTATGAGACTGGCGAGATGGAGGATCGCATCCGAGGAGCCCCTGGTGTCCTGTGACCCACTTATTCCTATGACATTGGACATGCTTTGACCACGCCGTAGCGGTAGTTTGCTTGATTTGGCTCTGTGCCTGGCGGAGGTGTCAATCACTGGAGCAAAGGACATGCCATATCCTCAGCGAATCTAGCCGAGACTATTTCTGACAGTTTGTGCACGCAAGTTCGTGAATTGAGACAACCAGGACCGGGAATGAGTGTGTTGAAAAGGGAAGAACAAAATCTGCAGCCCTCTGGTTTAAAATAAAGATCTACACATCATGTTGCCGCGCAATTCTCTTGTTCACTTCCGATCCTGTTTTCATCGCATTGGACCATAATTTGTCCAACTGATGAAAGTTGCCAAGGGAAAAGGTGCAGAGACAGAGGAAGAGGATGAGGATTTGCCCTGGGCAGGCACGTGGCTTTACATTGAATCTGTGCAGCAGCCACCGCATTGGGTTTAAGTCAACGCCTATGAGGAAGCGACATGACTTGGCGTTCGGTAGTTGCTGAACAAAGGAGTTGAAAGAGAAGGGGATGACCTGAAAATGGCGAAAAAAGAGTCAAAGGAAGAGTCAAAGGACGGGTTTGGCACTTTCTGGGTAAAGGTAACCATGCTTGCATTCTGTGATTCTGGGTTTGCTTCTGAGAGCTCACTTTGAAACATGCCAGCCATAGTGATCGACCAGCAGGAAGTTGCAGAGAAGGACAGTGACGAAGAAGACAGTGAAGAATCGGTGAAAGGCAACAAAAACTCCAGGCGCCTGTCATGTCCAGCAGGTTCCATTTCGCAGTCAAGCTTCTTACTTGTGGCTCTTGGGCAGTACAGGACGTAGACATGGCTAGGTCTAAGAGCAAAAAAGACAAGAAGAAGAAGAAAGACAGGAAGGAAAAGAAAGACAAGAAGGAAAAGAAGGACAAAAAGAAGAAGAACGAGAACGGGGCAAAGAAGAAAGACGCTGCTCCGGCACCAAAAAGGAAAGCAGCAGCAAAGCCTAAAGCCAAAGCAGAGGCAACCTGTTAGTGAAAAGGAAGGATCGAAGATTTGCAGTGCCCGTACTACTGCTTCAGTGTGCATTGGCATAGGTGCACGGCCATGTTTTGGTAGCCTGATGCATGTTGCCAAGGGCAAAGAAGAGTCAAAGGAAGAGTCAAAGGACGGGTTTGGCACTGTCTGGGTCAAGGGAATCATGCTTGCATTCTGTGATTCTGGGTTTGCTTCCACTTGAGAGCTCACTTTGAAACATGCTAGCCATAGTGATCGACCAGCAGGAAGTTGCAGATAAGGAGAGTGACGAAGAAGACAGTGAAGAATCGGTGAAAGGCAACAAAAACTCCAGGCGCCTGTCATGTCCAGCAGGTTCCATTTCGCAGTCAAGCTTCTTACTTGTGGCTCTTGGGCAGTACAGGACGTAGACATGGCTAGGTCTAAGAGCAAAAAAGACAAGGAGAAAAAGAAAGACAAGAAGGAAAAGAAAGACAAGAAGGAGAAGAAGGACAAAAAGAAGAAGAACGAGAACGGGGCAAAGAAGAAAGACGCTGCTCCAGCACCAAAAAGGAAAGCGGCAGCAAAGCCTAAAGCCAAAGCCAAAGCAAAGGCAACCTGTTTGACAATGTTTGACATTCTTCCGAAACGCAGTCCGTGGTAAACTCTTCGAATGTGGCATTACTGGTGATGTTTGCACGCGGCCATGTCATTGAGATGGGGGTGACAGTCACGATGCAAGAAAATGCAAATACTCCATGGAGATCCATGGAGAATATAGAGAAGATTTATCTCTGTAATTTGCACTTGATAGTTCTAAGTATATAACCTCCAAATGTTTTTAGTATGCAAAAATCAATGGAGATGTTCTAAGTATATTTCATCTGGATGTTCCAAGTGGTTACTTAGAACATCAGCCCGTGTTCTAAGTGTATGGTCGGTTTTGCATTTGATTAGAATGCAGAATGCGCATTCAGTCAAGGCCTCTGGGGAGAAGAAACAAAAAAAGGCTGGGACTGCCATACTGGGGGAACACAAAAACAACCCTGCTTCTTTCGATCAGGATCAAGCAGGATGACATCCAAAAAAAATGTCATGATATATATATATATTATACATAAATATATTATATGTCATATATAATATTTCTAGATATGGAATATAATTTATTGCTTCATATCATTGATCTTGAATGTATTATTCAGGGAGTTATATCCACACACACGCATATGCTGCACACATTATATTACTAAATACCTTTTACATTTAATAATCATAGCTATTACTATCTCTATAGTCTGATATGCCTCCGCAATTCGGAAATTCACGCACCAAATTTTCTTTAATAGTGTTTTTACTTTGTTAATGTTGTTTTTGTTTGGGGATATTTAAATGATTATACATGTAATTTATGTAATTTTTCGTTTGTAATTACTACCATTAAAAAAACATACGCACACACACACATTATATACATATAGTATCATATAGTTTACTTTAATATAACATAATATCATATAATATAATATTATATAATTTAATACGCATTTTTTTTGAATATAATTTAGTATAATATAATACAGTACAATACAATACTATATAGTATACTATAATACCATATAATAGATAATATAGTTTGATACAATATAATATAATGAAACATTTAATATAATACAATATAGTTTAAATTATAATGTAATATTATATGATATAGTGTGATATTATATAGTATAATACTAATTTACTATAGTATATAATAAACATGATTGATATATATATATATAATTATAATATACAGATATAATAGTAACTAACATTATATATACGTATATATAGTTTTAATCTCGACAGCTGGCTTCTGCTAGCTGAAGTCCCTCTTGCTTTAGCAGGTTAATGGGAGGGCTGGAAACTCCAATCGCATGAAACTTCATACTTAACTAACCCCCTCTGGCCGGTTTACAAGGTTGGCCGTGGGGACACCGTCGGCATGTCTCCACTGGCAGCAAATTCGGCAGCATCTGCATCCTCAGCATCATTGGCGTCCTCAATAGCGCATGCTTCAAGTCAGTGGTGCAGCGGGCTAGCCCTAAAACGTAGCTTCATTCATGTAGTTTTCAACCAGTTCTCGGACACAATGCTCCTTCGTACGGATGAGTTTGCAACGATGCTTTCGGAGATTTTCGGAGCATTGCGATGGCATGCTTCCAATTGGTGTCTTCATGACATCCTACCTAGCTGCGCTTCCAACATCTTCGTTGAAAGGCCCACTCCGATGCTGAAGCTAGACCCTTGAACCTTCTTCCTGTTTAGTGACTGCCATATACTGCCATGCTACTGAGGGTGAATTTCTTCATTATATTCATGTACATGATATATTCGTATTTTTCTATTTGTTATGATCTTGGTGCCCCTTTTTATACAAATAAAACTGCGTATATGGTGATCGATCTAAAGGTCCTTGTAAAGAGTTTTAATTGCGAAGACCGTTCATGTTATGCTGGGAACCCTCACGAAAGTTTTCGCGAGTTCGCGAAAGTAAAATGTTTATTCGCAAAAGTTTCGCGAAAGTTGGATATTATGCATCAGCATGCTAATCGATCTAAAGGTTCTTGTAAGGAGTCTTAATTGCGAAAGGCGTGCGTGTGATGTTGGAAACCCTCGCGGAAGTTTGAGAGTTCGCACAAAATGTATCATTTGCGAAAGTTTCGCGAATATGAATCATTATCATTGTATACATTACAGCTTGTTAAGGGCTACCACCTCCTGCTGCCCCGCAGTCTGGCAGGAGAGTGGTACCGCACATTTACCTTTCCCCTCATACATAGCACTTAAGCCCCTGGTGTTTGCTTTTTTACCGAATGCGTAGCAAGGGTTCCCGTTTCACTCTGGGGGTCTGGGGGCTGAGGGTGTGTTCGCTCGACATTGCGTTTACGTCCGCAACCGTCCGCAACCGTTCGCAGCCGTTCGCAACCGTCCGCAACCGTCCGCAACCGTTCACGCGATTGCTATATGGCTGTGCGTATGGTAAGTTTTGCAGAAGGGGTCATTTTTGGAGGTTTCAAACATGGCGTTGCTTCGTTTCGCGTGGCAAGCGTGGCACTTCCGTGACATTCAGACGTGTTTTGTAACGTGTAAGTCGTTTTGTGTGGCAGGCGCAATACTTTTGCGACGTTTTCAGAAGATGTGTTGCAGTTTTCGTGGCAGGCGTAGCACTTTGGACATGTCCATCGTCATTTTGCGTGGCAGGCGCAGCACTTTAGACGTGTCGTGTTGCGCGTTTTTTGCAGATCGCATTGACAGGGCTGCGTCAAGTGGCGACAGGGTGCAGATTCCGTGGCAGGCGTGGCATTTTGTGAGATGTTATGAAAATTGACGGAAGCCTCGCACGAAACATCGATTTTGAGGTTGCAAATTTACAGGTTCTAAGGGGGGCGCTGGAGGCGCTGAAACCTCGTCGGAAAACGTCGATTTTGAAGCTACAAAGTGTCAAAATTAGCGGAAGTCTCGCACGAAATGCTCGTTTTGCTGCGCCCACGTGTCTCGTCTCGAGTCTCTGGTTTTCCGTATCTATGGGGGAAGCTGCAAAACATCTCCTTTTTGAAGGTTTCCAAGCAGGTTGTAATGTTGTTTTGCATGGCAGGCGTGGCACTTTGTGACATTCCAACCTGTTTGATAACGTGTCGAAAGTGTCAAAATTGGAGGAAGTCTCGCACGAATGCTCGTTTTGCTGCTCCCACGTGTCTCGTCTCGAGTCTCTGGTTTTCCTGTGGCCTCGCCGTGTCTATGGGAGAAGTTACAAAATCTCTCCTTCTTGAAGGTTTCCAAGCCGGTTGTAATGTTGTTTTGCATGGCAGGCGTGGCGCTTTGTGATATTCCAACCTGTTTGATAACGTGTCGAAAATTCTTTTCTGTGGCAGGTGCAGTACTTTTGCGTCGTTTTCACAAGACGAGTTGCAGTTTTTGTGGCAGGCGCAGCGCTGCACTCCAGACTCCACACTCCACACTCTACACTTTCCACTTCACACTCCGCACTCTACACTTTACATTTTTCACTCCTCACTCCACACTTTACATTTTACACTCCTCACTCCACACTTTACACTCCACACTCCCCACTTTACACTCCACACTCTACACTTTACACTCTACACTTTACACTCCACACTTTACACTCTACACTCTACACTTTAAACTTTACACTCTACACTTTACACTCTACACTTTACACTTTACATTCCACAGTCTACACTCCACACTCAACAAATTACACTCCACACTCCACACTCAACAAATTACACTCCACACTCCACACTCCACACTGTACACTTTCCACTCCACATCCACACTTTACACTTTAGACTCCACACTTTACACTCCACACTTTACACTTTACACTATACACTTTACACTCCACACTCCACACTTCACACTTTGCACTCCACACTCCTTACTTTACACTCCGCACTCCACACTCCGCACTCCACACTCCACACACTACACTTTCCACTCCACAGTCCGCACTCTACGCTTTCCTCTCCACACTCTACACTTTACACTCTACACTTTGCACTCTACACTCCACACTCTACACTTTACACACTCTACACTCCCCACTCAACACTTTACACTCCACACTCCTTACTTTACACTCCGCACTCCACACTCCACACTCTACATTTTCCACTCCACACTTCGCACTCTACACTTGACACTCCACACTCCACACTCTACACTTTACATTTTTCACTCCTCACTCCACTCTTTACATTTTACACTCCTCACTCCACACTTTACACTCCACACTTCCCACCTTGCACTCCACACTCTACACTTTACGCTCTACACTTTACACTCTACACTTTACACTTTACACTTTACACTCTACACTTTGCACTCTACACTCCACACTCCACACTCTACACTCCACACTCTCTTTACACACTCTACACTCCTCACTCCATACTTTACACTCCACACTCCACACTTTACACTGCACACTGCACACTCCACACTCCAGACTCTACACTTTCCACTCCACACTCCACACTTTCCACTCCACACTCCACACTCTGCACTTTACACACTCCACACTCCCCACTCCACACTTTACACTCCACACTCCTTAGTTTAAAACTCCACACTCCACACTGTACACTTTCCACTCCACACTGCAGACTGGTAACAGGGGAAATATGTACAAAACTGTTCAAATGAACCGTGTCACAAAAGTGTTCCCCGTGACTGCATATCCATGTGTTTCGATATCTGTACCAGTAACATACGTGTGAGCATTCGGGTTCGTGGGCTGCATCTTGTTCTTTGATGCGCGCCCTGCTGATGGCTGCACGAAAGTTTTGCGAAGGAGTGGACGGAAGTCAAAGTGCTTTTTGAAGGGAGTGGCCCAGTAAGCCTTGCAAAAACTGCCTAATCAGCAACAATCTGTCCTGAGAAGGGGATTCCGCGATGCTAGCTGCATGTTTGCAAGGCTATGAAGAAGTTATCCATGATAATTTGGTGTAAATCTTCAGAAGAGGAGTTGCTGCTCAACATGGCTCCCGCGAAACGTAAACATGGAGTTTGCGAAAGATTCGCGAAAGATTGTTTTTAATTTGCGACGAGTGGCCGTTCCCGGATAAAGGAATTTTGATCAACCAATATATGCATATACATCCTCCTGGGAATTTAGCCTAAAGACTTAGGGATTGGAGGTCCTTAAAAAGCTGTATGTTTTAAAGGACAGTTTGGCCGGCAAAAAATCCAGTTTCATTTTGTAAGATGTATACTGTTGTTTTGATGGTCTCCTATTCTTTCGGAGGCCTTCCTAGGAAGATCCTAGGAAGATCCTAGGAACTTGTTTTTTGATATGTTCATCAATGTTTTTGGGATTGTGTGTCAAATGAAAACCAGCTTGCCTGCCGCTTGAACAGATGCTCACAAGCAGAAGACGTGAAGGTGAGATGGAAGATGAAAACGTGATGAGTGAATGCATGTAAATGATCCCCCTTGGAATTTCCACTAAAAAATGCAGCAACCCGGGTTGTCGCAAAAAACTTTTTTTTTAATGCAAAAACAGATGATTTTTCCACATGGCTATCCCGGAGTCCCCATTTTTTGCAAAGGCTTGCTAGGTCATGATTTTTAGAGAGAGCATTTTGAGGGGCAATAGACAAGCTCTTTGAATTTTTGCGATTTGCTAAAACTGCTGCTGTGCGCCGGCCATCGTTTGTATCGCAGATGAGCCAAACAAGTTTCAACATTGACAACACATTTCAACTGATTTTTCAACAAGGACATTCTTCAGGGACGCCGGACTATTGCACATTTAAGGGGTGTGAAAACAGAGCGTTTGAAAATCATATGGTGTTATCCCTCTTGGAATTTTCCCTGGCTAAAACATAAGTTAACCCGGGTTATCAGTTCCCCCTTGATTCTTTAGAGATTTAATTTGGAACCCTAAGTTGAATTTGTCAATGTTTAAAGTGCTGGCCAAAACATGGCTCAATAAACGCAACCAAACTGACACTAGATATGATAAAAGCAGCAAATTGCATATATTGACTTATACAAATAAATATGTTTATATACAGGGTATAGCTCTAAAGAATCAGACGCCAGCTCGAACCCAATCCAATTCTCATATCCAGACGTCCCCAGGAAATCCCCAAGATCCCCAGGCATAACACCAATTGTCTGTAGAAAATCCATCGAAACCCACTGTGTCCGGAGGTATGACCTTATTTTTTAATGGTACCCTCCCAAAAAACACCCCAAACTGTGAAAAATTGCCAGGTTTTGCAGGGTCGACATGCCCTGTTTTAGCAGGACCTGATTCTTTAAGGACACCCTTCCCTGTGTCGGGAGGCAGGGCCTGATTCTTTAGTGGCACCCTCCCCAAAATATCCGACCTTATTTTTTAATGGCACCCTCCCAAAAAATACCCCAAACTATGAAAAATTGCCAGGTTTTGCAGGGCCGATACGCCCTGAGTCTCTAAAGAATTAAAACACCAGCTCAGAAAAAACAGTGTTTTGGCAGGACCTGATTCTTTAAGGACACCCTTCCCTGTGTCGGGAGGCAGGGCCTGATTCTTTAGTGGCACCCTCCCCAATATCCCAAGTTGTAGGGTCGACAGGCCTGAGTTCAAAGGATCAAAACACCAACTCGAACCCAATCCAGGTCTCATATCCAGACGTCCCCAGGAATTCCCCAAGATCCCCAGGCATAACACCAGTTGTTTTTAGAAGATCCATCAAAACTCATCGTGTCCGGTGGCAGGACTTTATTCTTTAATGGCACCCTCCACCAAAGAACCGGACATCCGGGGCAAAAACTGAATATAAAGGGGAATATGTTATTTG